AATATCCTCGTCACATTGATCGACCTGTTCGAGTTCGATAAGCAAGGTTTGAGCGGTGGGCCACGTGGCTTAATGACACTCGCTGAATTCGGTCCGTATCTGAAACCATCTAAGGAGACCCTGCTTACCAGATAAATTGCTACTAGAGGATGTGCGTACCGAGCTCGCACGTGGTTCGCACATCGGCAAACTAGTTGCGTTTTCAAGAGATAAAGTAGTGGAAAAGAGCAACGAGGCGACTGAGGAACTCGCACAGCTATCGAAACATGGTACGGCCTGTCAAATTTTTGCTCCAGGAAAACTGATATTTGTTTCAGATGAACTTCGCAAACGAATCATTGATAGAGGAGGCCTGGACAGCATAGTCGATAATTTGGCGAAACCAGACCATGCGTTATTCGCTGCGAATGCACTTGTGACTCTCATGCAATATGGTGAGTGCTCCAAGACATTTTGTCAACAAGTTTGACTGGGCTGTGTTCAGACGACGCCAAGGAACGGATACTGAACACTAAAGTGGACCTATATTTGCTGCAGATGATCGAGGGACGCATTTTTGATGGAACCGTCGGAAGGGAGGGCATAGACATCCTTGCGGAGATATTCAAAAATGGTTTGGCAATTTGGTATTCCTGCGGTCTATGGGGTTCTTACGAGTTGTGCAGACGCCTTGCGATCCATGATGTTAAAGCCAAAGAATCCACCGTCATTCGATAACGGTTCTTGGAATTTCGGCGGCAAGGATGCACGTCGACGGCTACTCAAGAGCTTGAATGCGGCAAACGACGTATGGAAGAAGGACGACGCACAGACTGGTCGAAAAGCCGGCCACAGATGATTCCGATAAGCCAACAAATGTTTTTGGGATTTTGCGCAAGATGATCGAAACAACTCGGCTCGACTCTGTTCAGAATAGTGCTATCAATTACCTGCGCATTATCGCTGATCACGGTTGCTTACGTATTGCTGTCAAGAATGTACGCTGATTAAGATACAGAGGACGCACGCCAGGCGATGGTTGGCGTCGGAATCATAGAAACCTCTTTTGTGGTGTCTTAAAGCCACGGGTGTGAACATTCTGGCTCTCAATGATGTTTTAGCAAAGATTGCGCGTCACGGTGAGAGTTTAAGACAACCTGTCGCGTAACAATGATGCTCATGAAAACCTCAGATTCGTTACGTAGTGAAATCATCAAGAATGACAAGATACTGGCTGAAATGCTCAGTAGTCATTATCCTGTCGAGGCTCTCCGCATGACTGCCACATTGGAATCTTTATCGTCTCATAGTAAGTACTCGCCTAATGCTAAGATTCAAAGCTACAACACTTTCAGGAGAGATACGCGAGGAAGTTCATAAGATGGATGAGTACCAGAACCTGAAGAAGGATGCACTGTACTACTTAGATCCGCATCACCACCCCCACGAACATGGTTGGTTTTTTCTGCAATATCTTTTCTCGACCGTGCTGAAGCTTGGTTTTAGATCTGTATACCTCTGCATCCCAGGCCATCAAATCGGTTATCGGAGCATTCGACACGTATGACAGAACAACGCATCAAAACGATCCCTCAACCCCTACTTAGATCCGTATGACCACCCTGACGAAATTGGTCAGTCATTTTGCAAATGTCTGCTTTTATCATGCTGAAGTTACTTTTAGATCGGTATATGATCTGAGGCATGTGATGATGCAGTCGCAGAGCAGGTAACCAAACTCCCGACGACCGCAAAGAATAAATATAGGATGACGATGTCAATACTAGGCTCTAGCAGCAACACCTCTGTACTTCAGTGTATCAGCTTTATCTTATTCCGAACTGTGTGAGATGAACTGTAGTATTGACGGTCAAGTCTGAGATGCAATTTGCCTGGATGGATCCTTGAGGCCATACATATGATATCATGGACAAGTGGTTCCGGGTAGACTTACCGGCGGACTGCCTGCGCTCTACAAGATTCCTGACAGTCCCAACCAATCTGCTGAACAGCGAAGTAAAAGTAAAAAAGACTATGAGTCTTCCGTAAAAGAACTCTTTCTCCTTCTCTTCCTTGGTCGCATCGACAATCCCTGCAGCGACTCAACAGCCTTCGGTAATTCGGGAGCAATGATGTTGTTCGAGAGTGTGACCAAAGACCTCCCGAGAATGCCAAGAACCGCCCCAAAGATACAAGCGACACCGCAGAACATATAGAGGGGGTAGAGTGCAGCAGCTACGCTGGAAATGATCGTGTATGGGGTGTAGACTGTGGCGTCTAATACGATATGGAAGACGAGTATAACCGGAGCAAGCAGGCGGGATACAAGGGGCACGAAGATGAGTAACGGAGTGGCGAGCGCGACCACAACTCGTGAGGCTTGAGACAAGAAAGTGCGCAGAAGACTGAATGTCGCACGAAGTATGGGAATGATCTGCGTGATAGGCGGTTGTGTACTGAGCTGCCCCGTTGCTGTCGGCAACAAAGATGCGGTCGCAGTGATGGTGGACGTCATGTTGGAAACCCGTTCAGCTATTAGAAGTTGAATTATCGTCTCTGGAAACTCGTGAAACGTATGTGCGCTGCGGCTAAGCCAGATCTAAATTCATGTACGAAGTCGCGTGAAATTCAGTGCGCAAGACAAATGCCATCTAGAGTCAGGCGTACCGGAAATTTTCGAAGGTCTGTACAAGGTTTGGGAGTTTAAGTGTGAATGAAAGAAGTTTCAGGCTCGAGTCTCGACAGACGACCGTTGCAACGTCCAGGCCTAGGGCTTAGTAGTTCGTGTTCACTTGCCAGGATCCGAGCACCAGTGTCAGAAAACCTGTCCTAAACGGGACTCGTACCTAAACCTTACGGCGTACAGCGCCAACACTTGGTGTAAGTATTTATCCGAGGCCTGACTCCAATTACATAGAGTTCAACTCAGCGGCAAATGGACCCATATATGTATATATAATTTAGTATATACAACTGGTAGTCCAGTCTCCAATATTCGCTCTACCAGTACCCCGCGGTAGCATATTTATTAATGCAGGTATTAATGTAATATAATTATCCTGCGAGAAAAGTGTCAAATCCTTCTGGTGACAGGTGACACTTTTGGATCCGAGATTTGAATGATAATTTTATGTAAAGTTGCTGCGTATTGGTCGCCTTCGTGTACATACGCTCTCGTGATATCCTTCCAATCAAGAGATTAGGATGTTACCACACTCCAGAACCAGGCACACTCATACACCCATATATTTCCTTATCTACGTCAACGATGCGCCAAGCTTTAGGGTGCGCATGGAGGGGCGACATAAAATAGGCGAATCAACTTCTCTGACAGTCCGACTTCCAAGCGCCGGTTTCCAGCTTCTTCCTCAGTTCACAGTTCGGCTACGCCTTCACGTCCTCTCAAAATGAGTCTGGAATCCTCCGGTGTATTCAAGGACCAGAAACATCATGCAGGAGTTTCTTTGTCGACCAAGGATGTTGACACTGGTGCTCAGCTCGTCGCTGGATTAACTTCAACTCTTCATCCCGATGAGGCTTTGAGAATAAGGTGTGTTGTGAAACTGCATCCACATCAATATCGTTCGATTTTGTTTCAGGAAGAAGATCGACAAACATATCATGCCTATGATGTGTGGTGAGTACCCAGTTGTTTGATTCGATAATGATCGTGTCTGACAATCACGGTCCAGTTCTCTACTGGTAGGTTGACTGTATTCACCACGAATCAGCGCTCACTCGCGCAGGGTCCAATTCATGGACAAGACAACCCTGGGTTCTGCGGCTATCCTTGGAATTGAGTAAGGACTGTCTCGAGACTAGCCAAACCGGCACTGACTCTGTGTGTTATCAGGCAGGCCACCCACCTGACTACGAATGAGTAAGCCGTTCTTATCTTGGAGTTGAAGCTCAAGTCTGAAATGAAACTGTCTTCAGGTACAATTGGTGAGAAGATATGCACTACTCAATTTTACATGTGCCTTACGGTATCTTCCAGGCTTGGCACAGTGTTCTACCTCAGTTATCTTGTCTTTGAGTATCCCCAGAACCTTGCCCTCCAAAGATTCCCGGTCGGGAAATGGATGAGGTAGGCTTCAAAGCATTATCAATATGAATTTCAATAACAGCATGCATCAGTATCAACATCTTCGTCTGGGCAGTTGCACTGGCATCTCATGCAGCGTGCAAAAACTTTGCTGGGCTTCTTGTTGTGCGCCTGTTGCTAGGCGTATGTGAGGGGTCAATCACTGCCGGGTTCTTGATCGTTAGCTCCATGTTCTACACGCGGACGGAACAAACCCTACGGGTTGGTTATTGGTGTAAGTTCCAATTCGCAAATGATCGGCAGGTCAACTAATCAAACGCGTGGGGAGCCTAGTCCTCATGAATGGCACTGGTGCGTTTACAAAAATGCAACGCTTGATGTTGCCGCCTAAGCCAACAACTCTCTAGCACAAATCATCTCTGGTTTCATCAGCTTTGGTACTTTGCACATCAGTACCAAAGGGTTTGAACCGTGGCAATGGTCGGGCATCCCTTTTCACTACGCATACTCTGTCTAATAGATCGCAGGCTCATGATCATCACTGGATTAATTACACTGGTCCTGGCCCTTTCATTCTGGTGAGTTCGTAGAGGTTTCTAGTGCCTTGCCCCTTTAACTAAGGCATCACCGCCGGATGAAAGGTTCTTATTCCCCGACTCACCTACGAACGCCTGGTTCCTCACTCCTGACGAGCGGGCGAAAGCCGTGCAACGCATCAAAGTATGTTTGTCAAACGAAATGAATGAGCTCTTATCTTACAATTAGCGCAGGAAAACCAAACAGGCGTAGAAAACAAAAGATTCAAGAAGGAGCAGTACGTATTAGATGCAATTGTGATATTTCACGACTCACATACTACACATCTCTAGGATGATCGAAGCCCTGACTGACTATAAGACATGGCTCTTTGCCCTCTTCTCGGCTTTGGACAATGTGCCTAACTCATTGACAAACCAGCAAACACTCATCCTCGCTTCGTTCGGATTCAATGCTCTACAGACGACTCTATTGTCCTGTGTTCCTGGTGTCATTGAAATCTTGACAATCTTCACTGGTGTCCGGATTGCTGCACGACGGCCCAATTCCAGAGCATATGTTGGTGCTGTGTACTTCGTCCCGGCGTGGTTGGGCATCTTGCTGGTCAACCTACTACCTTGGTCGAATCAGGTACGTGGCTTACTTCCGTGATCTTGACCTCAATATCCCTCATTACACAATATTAGACTGGACTTCTGATCGGCCAGTTCCTGAGTGCGTTTGATACCTGGAGTGTGTTTGTGTACTCATTGCTCCATAGCTGGGTGCAGTGTGCCTGGGTTCGTACTATCGTTGTCGTGGCTCAATAGTGTGACTGCTGGCCATACGAAGAAGGTAGGTGCTCTGCAACTTATGGAAGTCGCCCCTCAAGTCAAAACCAACCTGCAGGTTGTTACTAACGCCATTATGCTCTCGGCATATTGCATTGGCAATGCGGCCGGCCCTTTCATGTGGAAGACACAATACAAGCCGCGGTAGGTTATTATTCGAGTGACTCTAGGAAGGAAGGAATC